CCCATTTGTCCAACCTGTCCAGGTCTCCCTGTAGTTGTTCCCTTCCCTCCGGTGTGTCCACTTCTCCCCACAGTTTCGTATCATCCGCAAACTGGGACAAAGTACACTTCACTCCCTTGTCCAAGTCACTGATGAAGATACTGAAGAGTATCGGTCCAAGGACCAAGCCCTGCGGGACCCCACTGCCCACGTCCTTCCAGGTCGATACTGACCCATCCACCACCACTCTCTGGGTACGACCCCCTAGCCAATTGCCACCCACTGGACCACGTAATCATCCAAGTCACAGCCTCTTAATTTGTTCAACAGTATGGGGTGGGATACCGTACCAAAGGCCTTCCTGAAGTCTAAGAAATGATATCTACCCCTACTTCTGCATCCAGGTGTTTTGTAACCTGATCATAAAAAGAGACTAGAGTAGTCAGGCATGATCTACCTGCTGCAAACCCGTGTTGGTTTCCCCTCAGCATAATTTTTCCTGCTGGGCTCTCACATATATGAGCCTTAATAATCTTTTCAAAGACTTTACCAAGGATGGTGGTGAGACTGACTGGCCTACAGTTGCCTGGATCCTCCTTCATCCCCTTCTTGAAAATAGGGACCACACTAGGCCTTTTCTAGTCCTATGGGACCTGGCCCATGCTCCACAAGCGCTCAAATATTCTTGCCAGTGGCTGTGCAATGACATCAGCCAGTGCCTGCAGTACCCTCAGATGGAGCTCATCCAGGCCTGCCAACTTAAACGAAACCAGTCCTTCCAAGTAACTTCTGTGAAGACAAGATTCAATGGGTAGATGTGATATCTTTTATTAGACCAACTAAATAGTTGGAAAAATTGTTCTTTGCAAGCTTTTGGGCACAAACGCCCTTCTTCAGGCATAGGGAAAGTCTGTTGGTGTTTGTGTGCTTTCGTGGGTAGAACACACAAGCACCAACAGATTTTCTCTATGCCTGAACCACTGAGAGTGTTCAACTTTGAAAAGTGTCTATTAAATCAGAATCACTTTTTCAGTACATTTCTTTCCTATGCATATTCAGTGATGTACTCATACTTTAGTTATAAACACTGAACTGCTTTTCATTCCTGTTAACCCTGTAGAGCTAACACAGCTAGGAAAGAACAAGCTGGAATCTTGTTCATTAATTCAAGACAAAGGAGTTCCATAGGAATCATGAAGGATTTAAGTAGAAGAAAGGACATTATGCAAGATACAGATTTAGCTAGATCTATAAGTTTGTAGCTGATATAACAATGTAAACTAAGGAAACAGCCCAAGCTGACTGTGCAAATACAGGTTGAGTTTGCCAAGTACAGAGTTCAGAAAAATATTTTGTAAACAAAGAATGCTTGATATAGAAATATTGAGAGGATGTGGTAGTCATGGGGGACCTGAACTTCCCAGACA